CCACATCTGGCACACGCGAGTCACCGCGACGCGATAATACGATTACACTTCTCCCTGAGCTTGGCCGCTCGATGGCGAATTAATTTCGGAGTTAGCAGCGGCGTAATCGTTCTCGGCGCGCGTGCGCCTATTGTGGCGCGCGGGGGAGCTGGTGTGAGGCCCGCCGGTGGGCCGCTCTGCCAGCTGGAGGGGGGGGGGGGGGCTGACTGTCTGCCGGACTCTCTCGGCGGTGGAGCGGCGCGGACGTAGCCCCGTCTGGCAGGCACTCCCCGGGTCAACTGTTGCAATCGCGGATCACGAGGAAGAAGATCCGCCGGCATAGCTCCCACCCAAGTATGTTGCGTGATTATGACACCTGAGTGAGATTATATCAGTACGGTTTTTCCTGTGCTTAAGCTCGGGAATCCGGCACGTTCGCGGTTCGTTGGAAACCGCCGGCGTGTGCAAAGAACATGATTAGCACCATCCGAAGGCTGATCACATGGCGATTCCAGATATGCTCTTCGTTTGGTAATCGCGCAAGGGCTTTTTGCATTGCATTTTTACTTTCACTTCCAACGTGTTTCATTCGCCAGTCTGTTGTATGGACGTTACAGATCAACATCAACATCAACAACCGCCATCATCATTTCATATCCTATAAAAACTCGCCGTCTGAACATCATGCGGCCCCGTTACATAGAGAGCAGTAGAGTGCCAGCCGCACTCATCGCTCATCTTCGTCTGTAATGCGCAAATTGAACTTCCGCTACCGAGGCGTTCAGCTCTTGAGACCCCTTGTAAAGTTTACCGCCTCCACGGCGTCCGATAACGACGCATGTCTCCGAACAGATGTCGAGAAATAAACGCTAAACGAAATATCTTGTCAGGAATGATCGTCTCGTTATATAGTGATACCACGGCAGTTACAGGCACGTCCCGACATTGTGCAACCTGGAATGTCCTAAGACGTACATGCTTCATAAATTCTTCCCGCATGGTTAACTACTATCTTAGCCTCTGATCATTACGACGCAGCCATTGTATTGCCGATCGCCTACAGACATTACATTACTAGCGACTGTGCGTGCCCAGTACCAACTGCAAATGGCCTGTTTCTGCATGTCTCAGTCACGTGCGTTTGATGAGTGTGACCGGGTCCGGGAGTCACACGGTAGCTGCCTAAGACTGATGTCTGCATGCCTCAGTCACGTGCGTTTGATGAATGTGACCAGGTCCGAGGGTCGTGCGGTAACTGCCTGAGATTGATGCAGTCTCTGACATGCCTTCACACGTAGGTTGTGGTGCAGTTGAAAGCCGCACCCAGCAAGCTACGACGAAAGGAAAGGGAAATTAGGGACATCTCACATAATGGCAGGGTTTGCAAACCCCTTGCAGACTTACGTCCACGGTTGGACCACGGAGTGCGGCAGCTTAAAGACCCATACGTCAGGTAGTCGTTCGGGGAGATATGCTGTTCTCGACCCAGTGGAAGATGGGCGTTTTTGCCATTCTTGATTTTCTATCGCTTTTTAATGTTTTTCATTTTACTCATCTTCATTTTGGACTCATCACTATTTATATATTTTTAGTTCTAACGTGATCATTTTCATCTTTTCTTGGATTTGATAACTGCTGATTTATTTTGATCATGATTTCCATATTTTACGATGATGTTAATTTGACAACTGTTTTCATCATTTTGAAGCACGTTAATCTGGCCCCAGGGAGAGAAGATCACTTCGGACCCGGTAGCGATTTACGCCGAACCACATCGGTGGCATGTAACCATTCAGTGGGACTTTCCGGAAGGGTGCGGGAACCAGGATGGGTAAAAACGCTCAGCTGCGCTCCTTGCAACAGGCACACGTCATTGCCATATCATAGGCGATGTTGCACATGATAACATGCCCCAGACGATATGAAAGATAATGATTAAAGTGTAACACTATTGCAGCTGTGGCTGGGTAAAAAACAGGTAAGGCATAGAAACAGAAATGCATTAAAAAAACGCTGTATTTGCGATATTTAAGGGATTGTTCCACACCTGAAGATATTGAAGCAGGCATGAGATATCATGCAATTAGCTAACTTGTCACTTTTGGTATACTGTTGAAGTGAAGCGACTGTTTTATACAAAACAATTACTTTTTTACTTGACGGCCGTTATATCTGGAAATCGTGCTCACGAACGCCAGATGTAAACGACTCGACCATTTTTTTAAAATCATTTCTAGCCCTGATCACAGTACGGCTAACTAAAAAGCAGGATTTGAATGATGTTTCCGAAATAGTCTGCACATCGTCGCGAGCATGCAGCTCAGAAACTAGAGGGGTTTAGGTTTTAAGAAAGGTAGGGCTGTGAACTGCACTAAATGATCTTCAAGATTGCTCTTTTAATGAAAAAATGCAAATGTATGGGCTTAACATATATATTACCCACTTAACATACATTTGAAATCACTGATTGCTCGGTTTCGCCGCCAATGCTTTCGAAACTTGAAATTCCGACCGCTACCAACAACCCGTGCGCTAGTCGCGTTGTTCCCAGCGCCGTCCGGTCCCGTCACGACTCACGCCGCGCCACTCCGTCAGCGTCGCCGGCGTCCCACCGCCACCTGACCTGGGCTGCACTCGTGCACAAGCCGCCGTCACCGAGGCCAGCGCGCGTCGCCAGCCGCTCCGGTCGGCCCAAACGCCCTCGTTACCATTTTAATTATCTCGTCCAGCAGCCATTTACGGGTGTGACGCGCTCTTTATCGGCCAAGTTAGCTGCCTCGTCAATTATGCAGACGCTCATCTATTATTGAGCGCGGCGGCCGGGAGCTGTGCGTCGGGTCCCCGGCGGTGGCGCGGCGCACGGTCTGCTGCCGCGCGGCGGGCGGTCTGCTGGCGCGCGGCGGGCGGTCTGCTGCTCCGCGGCGCGCGGTCTGCTGCTCCGCGGCTCGCGGTCTGCTGCTTCGCGGCTCGCGGTCTGCTGCCGCGCGGCGGGCGGTCTGCTGCTCCGCGGCGCGCGGTCTGCTGCTCCGCGGCGCGCGGTCTGCTGCCTCGCGGCACGCGATCTGCTGCTCCGCGGCGCGCGGTCTGCTGCCCCGCGGCGCGCGGTCTGCTGCTTCGCGGCGCGCGGTCTGCTGCTTCGCGGCGCACGGTCTGCTGCTTCGCGGCGCCCCGCGGGCGGACCTTCTGACCGCGCAGCAGCGGTCCGTCACCCGACACCGGTGGTGGTGGTGCTGCTGCTGCTGCTGCTGCTGCCGCCGCTGCTGCCGCTGCTGCTGCTGCACAGCGTGTCGATGGAAAATAACTGGCATGGAAAATTGAGATGAGCATGCCCATGATCGGGAAAATGCAGTTCGTCTCGAAAGAATCCTAGTAGGAACTCGTTTATTGTTCCCCAATCGAACGGTTTTATCTTCGCCGATGCGTGCGCGGAGAGTCATCTATTAAGACCAGTCGTCATTGCGCCGCTGTGGGCATTGTGTTTGCATAATGTTGCGCATTGCGCGCGCCATGTTAAGATAGGTACTCGAGCTGATCTCAACAGCATACCACGGCCGGTGCCCAGTGGACCGACACCATGAACAGGAGAGTGGCGTTTTGGTCATGACAGCGAGTCAAGATCACTATGACGATGTCCATATGATCACTTTTGCCAATGCCCATGATGGATTCGATGTATTGTGGTATGGTGGGATCAAATTTGCGAAACGAAGTAAAATCAAGCCGCATAATCAGGGGTTTGCGCCATCTTTCGTCTGCCTAGAAAGCTTTTGCTACCAAAGATGGAGTGCTGTATGTGTGTTAAGTGATCATTGCTCACAGCAGTGGCGTTGTCAATCACTACATTACTGCTCAACAGTTTGGAGTTGTTGGAGTTGTCTTGTTTTGGACAAATGCTGGAGCTTCAGCCGTTCCAGTAAAATATGGGGTGGGCTCCCCCCTCGTGTTCCAGCCCCCCTCAACTTTGAGAACTGTTGGCTGAATCTGGGGAAAGACGAACTTTCAGGCGCATTTTGGGATTGGCTTAATCATTTTTCACTGTTCCGCCCCCCCCCCCCCCTCCACCTAGCCTATTAATAGATACTACACTCGTGTGCCTGGCCATGCTGTACCCTCCACGACCCCCGATGACCTTGTTTGGCTACCATCTTCGCTTGGCGGGAGTAATCTGACGTCGTCCAACCACAGCATAAGTGATAATGCAATGTCCTGGGGCGTGATTCTGCAAAATTAGTTAAGGGAAGGGGCTGAGCAGCGAAAAATGGTGCCACCTGCCCCAAAATGCGCTGACAAACGGGTTTCTCCCCGGATGTTGCCCACATTCTTCTCAAAGCTGAGAGGGGGGGGGGGGAGGGTTAACCTCCCCGAACTAAATAGGGAACTACGCCGCTGTTAGTGTCAAATGCTCTCAACACACGACGCCCAGTGTGATCGTTATGCTCTGTGGATACAGCGATCGTTTGCACCATTATTTCTATTTACATCATGCGATATTCTGATTCTGTGTGTCAGTCATTGTTCACTGTTCCATGCTCGATTTCCGAAGAGCCAGAATTGCCACGCCGCGTGCTACATGTAATTATATTGATGCAGGCTGTATGCAAGGGACGCGTCGCCTCGCCCTACCTGTAGATGATATGCGGATATTGTAAACATAGACTGACATGGTCGGCCCACCCACTCGCCACCAGTGCAAAAGAAAATCACGCGGTCCGTACGGTGTTTAGAGCTTCCGCAGTCACGACAACCATGACGGTCGATGAAAGGCATGATATAGGAATGGAAAGCTGCCATGAATCGCAACTTGTAGTGACCCTGGCCTCAGTCTTCAATGGCACAGAACGTTTCTTTTAACATCTGCATGCTGGAGAGAGACAAATTGTTTTGTAAATGGTACTAACTTAGCGCCCGTCTTCGTTGCTTGAGACCATCTTTGTCTGAATGGATGAATTACAACAGAAGCCATTATTCATGTGTTGTCCGGCAACCAAACTAAAGGCTTTTTATTTTGCCTTATGTTCCAGGTCTAGAAACGCAAAATAACATCCTAGATCGCGGATACCAGCAAGGAGGAGGCCTGAATAAGAAGAAGAAGAAAAAGCGAAGGCACCGGTAACATTTTCTATCTCAGGAAGCGATACAGATATCTACAAGAATAAAACTGATGCGTTTAAAACCAGCTGCTTCATATTTCAAACGTGAACCTTACCTAACATCCAGATAGCTGTTGTCCTCTGCACCGCACAGAGCGGCTGCTCTTAAAGGAGCGTGGAGGAGCAACAGACGTTTCGGCCGTAAGCTCACTTCAGTGCTGTCACTGGAATGAAGAGGGCTTGTGACCGAAAAGCCGAGACGCTTGCTGCTCGCTCTGTCGTTGCAACAGGCACCTACTATTCAATTCAGTGTACAGGTCAGCAATCGTCAAAAAACATTCAAGAATGTCGTACTCTATTATCAAGCGGGCTTTACGAAACTTTAATCTACGCGCTACTAATTTCAAAAGTATCACAAAATGACAATGCATTCATGCATCATCTACAAAATGGTCTAAGCTATAACAATACAAGGGCCTGATCTGAGCGATCCGCTAAGTCTAGAATATGGATCAAAGTGTTGATCTCACCGCTTCACACATGGAAGTCTGCCTGATTTTACTTGTCCATGTTGCACTATCAATTCAGCATGTGATACGAGGATTGTTTTGTTGGCCTAAGTACTAACTTAAAACCTTACGGAGTTTTGTTTTGGGCACGTTTTTGTGTTTTACAGATGACCGCTCGCAACTTCTTTTAAGTACTTGATAAATAAGCTACCCGAAACGACGTGAAAGGCTATTGTCGTTCACACAAATTTGTAGCATGTACTTTTGTCTTCATTCGTACCTCATACGTGTACTTGTGTGGACATCTAAGCCAATCTGTACTGGACATTTTTCTTCGTCCAGTGGGCAAAGCGTGCAACGTTTTTTTTTTAGATGTTTGTGCATTTCGTGTAACTTCAGATGTGACTTTTCAGAACAATTTTCACCAGCTACCAGGTGGAGGAGCTGGAGAAAGCGTTCAAGGAGGCCCACTATCCAGACGTTTACGCCAGGGAGATGCTCTCCTTGAAAACCGACCTGCCAGAGGATCGAATACAGGTACGGTCAGCGTCAGCTGTGCGGCCGAGGACGGCCGGCTGACATCCCCATCCAGTGAGGCAGTCAAACAAGCATCGTGGCTGGATGACGAGCCCCAAAACGAGTGTGTTATATCGGTAGCATCCACCCCAAATCGCTAATGGGTAAGGTCCAGCGACTTCTGAGGCAATTTCGACGGTCCTGAGCGGCATTACTGCAGGTTTCGCGCTGACGCCGTGTTCGGCATTGCTGTAGCACTGCGACAGAAAGACCGGCGGAGGCGTTTTGTGCGTGCTGGGCGACCATCACTATGGATCCACGCTGCTCGATGCTGATGTCGGCTTTAGGACTCTGCTGGCTTGGCTGCCTTATCTCTGCCTTAATACGCGCCCGGGTGGCTGGCTAGATACCCTTCGCTCGGGTGAGGTGAGGGGTGGGGGTCAATTGGACCCTCCTGAGAAATCTGGAACTAAGAAAGCTGAAGACACCAAATTCACAGGGTGTGTTGACCTGTACATGAGCTCACTTAGGTCAACGTTTGAGGTTCCTAGGTCATGACCTTCGGGTCAAATAAGGTCAAACAAGGGCAAATTCCAGGTTGATCTCTTAAGTGCCCCCAGAACCTAGGTAGCTGTTTTAAGCAAAAGGTTACATGCTCATCTAGTCAATGATATTGTTTGACCTTTTGTAGGTCATGGTGACCGAAACCATAGAAGACTGCTCTGAGTTTTGCATTTTAATAAGCGACAAAGGCTACGCTAGGCAGCATGCTTCTTAAAACAAAATGATGACCTGAGTCATTTTGGGTCAATGACCTACTCTTGCCTCTAAAAGGTCCATGGAAGATGCATGATGCGGTTCATACTATCAATAAATTCGAAATGAACATCAGAAACTATATCATGCAGCAATCCCTAGAGCAATAAAACGGGTTGGCTTTACTTTAGTCTGACCTTTATACCTGACCTTAGGTCAACGTTATTTGATCATTCAGTATTTGTTTTGCCCAAGAAAGCATCTCAGAGATATATGCCCTCGTCTAACACTCCGTTGTTGCATGAGTTTGAACGATTCCCTAGAAATGGATTTCGCTGAGACCATAGCCTGAGTTTGACCTGCCATAGATCAGCGACCTTACCAGGTAAATCTGAATTATTGATGTCAAACGATTTGATATTCAATTGTCTACAGCTAAGCAAAATTTGGTGTGGCTACGCCGTGCCGTTCGGAAGACATTCGGGAAAATCTTCAGAGGGGTGGGGGGTCAATTCGAGCATCCACCCGAGCGCGTGTTGACTTTACACTGATATGTGGCTCTATGGTGCACCTTTCCCAAGGTCATCATTGCTGTCAGCCGTACAACAGCACAGGTTTGGGTGAAACACACCATCTGACGAAAGCGAAGAAATTGTGTGCATTGAATTTGTGACAACGAATAGCTTCTGTGAATTTTTGTTCAGTCTCCCGTAGCATCTGTGGTTCGCGACTTCGCTGTCACCCCACGCTGCCGTTGATCAGTGCCTGCCAGTGCGGGGAACCAGGTGGTCCCCACGTCAGACCGGCCGGTGTGACGCGACCTGGTCCCGGGACCAGACCGCGCCCTCTGGCTGTCCGCTGATCCGAACGAGCGGCAAGCTGGATGCCGTTCAGTTCAGATCGCGCTGGGCGTTCGGACGCCCGCCTAAAGTCCACCCGCTGAGCTCTCACTGCTCTCACATCCGCCCGCTAAGTCCTCACTGCTCCCACCTCCGCCCGCTAAGTCTTCACTGCTCTCACCTCCGCCTGCTGAACCTTCACTGCTCTCACCTCCGCCCCCTGAGCCTCACTGCTCTTACTTCCGCCCGATAAGTCTTCACTGCTCTCACCTCCGCACGCTGAGCCTTCACTGCTCTTACTTCCACCCGTTGAGCCTTCACTGCTCTTACTTCCGCCCGCTAAGTCTTCACTGCTCTCACCTCCGCCCGTTGAGTCTTCACTGCTCTCATCTCCGCCCCCTGAGCCTTCACTGCTCTCATCCCCGTCCGCTGAGCCTTCACTGCTCTCACCCCCCCCCCCCCCTCCACCCGCTCTCCCCCCTCCGCCCCGTCTTCACTGCTCTCACCTCCCCCCTTTGAGCCTTCACTGCTCTCACTCCCGCCCTCTGAGCCTTCACTGCTCCCTCTCCCGCCCGCTGAGTCTTCACTGCTCTCACCGCTGCTCTTCTGTGGAGTTGGTCCACTCGATCGGCAGTGGCGACAGCAGCCGGCCAGCTCCACCCGTCCGTTTGGCCGTGTCTAAGCCGCATGAACACGTGGTCGGGGTTGCGGCGGAGTGGAGAGAGGTCGCGAGCAGCCGGGCCGAGGCACACCCTGCGGCCGCTGGGCCGGCGGCGGACGCCAATGTAACCCCTCGCGGAGGGAGCAATAAAGAAACGTCGCCACCCTTTGTCGCTTCCCTCCGGAATTATCAATTCATGAAATGCCCTGTCGCCAACAGGTGTCACTAAATGAAAGTCGTAGTCACAAAGGAGGAATTAATCGGTAGTAAGGAGCAAATTGATGGGTGCTGGAAGTCGCTTTGGACGTTCTTTGACAGAGGGCCTGCATTTGAAAGCACTGTCACCAAGCTGGTGACAAGGGTTACAGAGGTGCCGCACACGGCCTCAGCCAATGGCAGAACTTGGGCGATGGGCATCCGATAGGATCGACTAGTGACAGTTGGCATTGGCGACGTCAATAACCGCATCGACTGCGGCAACCGCGACATAGCAACGAGCTCAATATTCCCGTAACAGAAGGAAGGCCAGAAGCACGATGGCATTTCGACGGTGGTTAATTACGTTTTCCACACGAGGGCAGGCTGGTTTTGTCCAGCCAGACATTTGCAGGTTTTTGAGCCGAACAATGTGCTGATCATGAATATTATTATTTGCATTTGGTGGGCGAGGAGAGCGCTGTCCGCTGGGAATACACGGCGCGTGGAATCAGAGTCATGGAACAATAGGACTCATGACTCTCATACTCTGACTCATGGTTTGAGGGCTCAGACTCATGCACTGTTAATGCGTCCGGACTCGTCTGCTGTGAACCGGGTGGCCCAAACTACAAGTCATGGCTCCTAGGACGTTGACTCGGCTGAGACTCAAGCCTATAGACCATTGGCTCGAATCCAGGCTCCACAGAAGGCGGACATGAACTTCTTTGCAGCAAAAGTGATGAACCCAGACTCTCGCGCGTACACATTATTTCGGACTCATACGTCGGACTCATACTCATACCCTCTGAGAGGCATAAGCTCTGCCGCCCCAGGGAGATGAGGGCCAGACAAACTCCTCACAATTGCCAAATGTAACCCTTTTCGTACCGCGCTGAATAGAGAGGAAAGCCTTATGCAAATATCGATGCATCGGTGTTCCTCCAATATTTGTCTCGCTACGTGGCCCCTACCAGAGAGCTACCAACTCAACACCTGCGAATGATAAAATGGTTGATTTCAGGTATGGATGACACATCTCTTTGATCCACATTACACATCGATGCCAGCAGACGCATGCGATATCTGAAGAGGCGTGGAAACGCACCCACGAGGCAACTGGAAGCTTTTTTTGAAGAAGTCATGGTACTAGATTTAATCTACGATCAAATCGTCTCTCAGGACAGGCCATGATACAGGGGTAGCGGGGTTATAAAGGACGGACTGCGGGCCGATGTACGATGATATTTATATAATTTCTCCAAGTATGCATGAAATCAGCTGACCAGAAGCTTCCGGCTCCTCCCGGCGTGTGCCGAGCCGAGGGAGCCGGCCACCGATCTCCGCCGGCAGCCGCGGCATATCCAGCACCATTCTGTTCTCGTGAAGGTTAGCGGTACAATCTTGAGCTTTTTACACTATTGTCTTGCGAAAATTGAACGTGACGCAGATGTAACATTTGTTTGTCATTGTCATTTTGTCATTGTTATTGTCAAACGCATTTGTAAAAATGCGATTAAATATGATTAATCATTACCCCACTACATTCTCGACGGTTTTGAAGTACAGTTTTCAATCCCGTGGTTTTAAAGAAAGCACGCCTTATAAAACAGGTTTCCTGGTTTAGAGAGTCTGGCATTTTGGCTTTCTACAATCAAAGAGATGAGTCAGATAGAAACCAAAATGATGAGGCAGTACATAAAGCTTACCATGTCGGCATGATCCCGTTCTGCACGATAGATCACTGCGCGAAAGCTCAGAAGTCGCCCCTAGCGGGTGGCGAATAGGCCGACCCGTGTTATGGTATTACATTTCGATTCAGCGCAGCTTTGAGGCTCGAGTTCAACATTGTGAAACGAATGGCAACAAAAAGATTGCCCGATGTCTGAATAATCTTCAAAATTTTCTCCTCTCATTGTCGAGTGGGAAAACTTCTGGCCATGAATGTCGGAGTGCTGCTCTGAACCATTGTTTGCGCTCCTTGTCCCTGATTTCCCTGGACAAAGGCGCCCGCAAGTGCAGCCATTCTGGTTCAAGCGATGTCATGAAGCCAATGTCGCATTGCTTTAAGCTAACACATGCAGTCATGATTATAAACATATGACGTATTTCAGTTTGAGAAACGTCGAAGTCACGTGACTTCAGCAACATGCTGTCCGCGTGATGTCAATGTATGACTTTGCATGGCATTGCATGGCTTTGTATAACATCATATATAAATGTAACATATATGTGACATATATAAATGTGGCATCATCATATATAAATGTGACATATGGTGTTGACACACGCATACTGTTTTTGCATTTGTGGAAACTGTAAAGCAACGCCTTTGTCTACTTCGAGCGGGCGTTCTATTTGACAGGACTGTATTTGACACTATAACGTAGTGCGCCATTCGGGCGGCGTCTTTGTCCCCCGTGTTGATAAAACGTGTCGGATGTGAAGGAGGCCAGTGGGAAGGCTTGTGCAAATTGAATTATCCTTAAGAGACTAATAAGCGGCTTAAACCCCTTCTTCCGCGCGGCAATTTCAATTGACTCAGCACAGAATAGGCACTTCATTCGGTG